GCAGGAGGAGATGCCCCACCCCTAAACACACTGCACACTGCACCCGCAGATATCTGTTCCTTCCCTGTCCCACAGTGAGAACAGAGGTAGGGAGGTTCTGTGGGAGTGGATGGTGCTGTCACTTCAGCCATGCTTCTGTGTTTATAAGAGACAGTAGATATGGGTGTGCGCAGGGCCAGTGCCGGAGGTGGCGGAATGACGTTCTGCCATTTTCCTGCTGAAAAAAAGCCTTGATTACAACTAGGTCTTATTTTCGGGGTAGGTCTTATACTTTAGCAATTCCCAGAAATAGCACTAGGTCTTATTTTCAGGGTAAGTCTTATTTTAGGGGAAACAGGGTACTCACCCATGTGGCTGCAGCATCAATCTACCTGCTATAAAACTGAGAACTGAGCAACCACATGACCATGGATTGCTCAGTTCTCAGTCTTCAGTGAGCAGAGAGCAGTAACTGTCAGTCACTGGCCCTCGGGCTCTGCTCCTCCACTGAAGCACCAGGCTGTGGAGGCGAGTGGCATGCTAAAAGGCTGATCCAGGTGTGGGTCAGGCATCTGGGCAGATCTCAAAATTATTGTCAGGTTTTCTGCAGAGCCTGGACCAGATCTGTGACATCATCCAACAGAGGACTTTAGCCTGTGACCCACAGGAGAAGTATGGCCAAATTTATGCAGAAGATGCAGCTGGAAGCGGGATCCTCTGTAACTCAGGGGCCCTGTAGTACTAGAAACATTAACTACTCCTTCCCCTATTTGTTATATAAGCCCAGACACTTTTACTCGTCCATTACAGATGAGAAGCAGGACAAACAGAAGAATGAACAGGGCTCTGGATTCACATTTTCCAAGGGTCACCGAAATCATCATAGGGCACACCGGGTCTGCTTTCACAGCACTCCACAAACTGGAGACTATCTTCAGGAAAAGGGGAAAGGACCCAGTAGTGAGAATCCACTCACACACAATCCAATGAGAACAAATGTCCAAAGGAGCCTTTTCTGCATTCACTAATGCTGGTGTAATCTGCCCTCCAGAAACTCTCCAAGCAGTAATTCACAGTTTTATTTGGTATCTGCTCACATGACTCCATTTAAGCATAGCTGGAATTCTTAATCAATGTTATCATTAAATTACCTTGGATTGTTGGATGTTTGTTTGGTGCTCACGCTGGATTGTAGATGGGAGGCCTTCCTCATAATGCCCTAATATACAAGTGTTGTTGGGGAATGAGCCCCCCCTTTACTTCTTGCCAGACTGACACTGAGATATTCAGAATATTTCTGCAATTTCCTCTTATCTACATTTAGACTAGATGAGGATGGGATGTTTTCTGTTTGACCCCAATTGCATTATTGACCTGGAGAGAGTTCAGTGTGTTTCAAAGCCTACTCTTCATCTATCTATTTATTTATGTGACTATTTATACTATTATTTATTTAACCGGTTCCATGCCACCTTATAGCAGAAATATTGCTGCAGGGAGGAACGGGTGTGCAAAATCATATATATACGTGATTTTGCAGTTCTGGGTAGGGGGCGCGCAAGCCCTACCCACGCTGCCATTCGCGGCCTCGCCTGTCAATCACCATGTCCCTGCCGGTGATTGCTCGCCAGCACTTGGTGATCGAGGAGCATTGCCGACGGAGGGAGAGAACTGTAAGTAAACAATACAGTTCTCTCCCCTGTCAGCTCCTTCACACTGCTTTTCATGGCTTTGCATAGCAGAACCATACAAAGCGATGCGCTGACAGTGAAGCACACACCAAACTTACAGTAAAAAAGCACACAGTTAACCCTTCCCATATGGAAGAAAAATATATTTGAAATATATTTTTTAAATATTCTCCCCAAATATATTGACATATATTTGAAATGCTACAATTTTGGCCATATTCAATATATATATATATATATATATATATATATATATATATATATATATAATGTTGAAATGTGTTTTTTATATATTACAAAATATATGAAAAATATTTTTAAATATATTCTTCAGACTTTATTTTAACATAAAAAAGTCATTTGAACATATATTTTTACATATATTTGTAAATGCATTCCAAAAATGTAGGTTTGTATTTTTAAAGACATACAGTATATTTGAAATGTATTTTTAAAATATACCTTTCATATATTTTGTCATAAAAATGCCTTTCAACATGCAGTATATATATATATATATATGTGTGTGTGTGTGTGTATGTATTGAAATATATTGAATATGGCCAAAATTGTAGTATTTCAAATATATGTCAATATATTTGGGAAGAATGTTTTTAAATTTATATCAAATATATTTTTCTTCCATTTGGGTTTGATCGCCCCAGATGCTAACCCCTTCCTGCCCAATGCCATTAGTACAGTGTCAGTGCTTTTTATTAGCACTGATCACTGTATTGGTGTCAGTGGGAATGTCAGTGACACCAAGTAGTTTCCCCCAATGCCAAAATGCCTGCTGCAGTCCCGTTATAAGTCGCTGATTGTCACCATTACTAGTAAAAAAAAAATTCCAGTATCTATACAGCCATTTGTAAACGCTTTAACTTTCATGTAAACCAATTAATTTACACGTATTGAGATTCTTTTTCTAGCAAAGACATGTAGCAGAATACATTTTGGCCTAAATTTATGCTGAAATTTGATTGTTAAAATTTTTTTACTGGACATGTTTAATAGCAAAAAAGTCAAAATTATTGTTTTTTTTTCAAAATTTTCAGTCTTTTTTTGTTTATAGCTCACAAAATGAAAAACGCAGAGGTGATCAAATACCACCAAAAGAAAGCTCTATTTGTGGGGAAAAAAAGGACATACATTTCATTTTGGTGCAGCGTTGCATGACCGCACACTTGTCATTAAAAATAATGCAGTGCTGTATCGCAAAAAATGACGTGGTCAAGAAGAGGGGTAAATCCCCAGGAGGGCAAGTGGTTAAATACTGGATGATTGAAAAATTGTTCTTTCCTTTAGAGCCTTTGTCCATTACTGTCTGCATCTTCCAAAAAAAATTATACATTTTAAATGTCATAGGTCAGCTATAAAGTTAAAAGCCTGTCATGTATAATTTGATGGCGAAAAAAAAAATCAGACCTACAAAGAACAGGATTTCTTTTTTTAATGTAGGAAATACCAAAATACAAAAACATTTCCCACTAACAACAAAATGAGAGGCTAGACATGAGGTGTAGATGATTTATCCTAGCTATTATTAATATAATTACTACACTTGTGGTGTAATGATTTATCCAAGCTTGACATTTCTGGCAGAGATCACCATGATGTTATCAGAGGTGTGTACTCTGCCTACAGCAACAAAACAAGAAACAACATCTTTTCCTACATTGACTGTCACTTAGCTTGCCTCCCGCAGTAATACAAAAAGCAGTTAGTCTCCAGGGATGAAATAAATGATTAGCCAAAAAAACCCCAATGGGAGCTTTGTGGGTGCGCCTGTTCCTGTTGCCGACTGCCAACCCCCTCCCTCACCGGCGATGGTTTAAAATTCCTGCCTGGTGAGGCAGCTGATCATTCTTAGTAAAGCTGAAGCCGTTCTAAGTTCCTCTGTTTATGCAATGCTACAAAGCCAAAAAAACCTCAAGCACCATCAAAATGCTGAGCAGCAACAAAAGAGCCCTGCAGTCTTCTACTTCCATGTGTTCCTCCTGCTCTTCTCATTTGACAGCTTCCTGCTTAATAAAATGGTCAGACCGAGTAACGAGGTTTTGTGTTGGAACAAAAATTGATAATCCGTTTTCAATAGTACAGGAATTAAAGAGGCTTTTACTAGCGCTTTAATAGGTTCGTTTTCCCACCGAGCTGCTTTAATGTGATTTGTGTATAAATTCCCTAGCATATATTTCTCCTTTATGTTGGAGGGGTTTTTATTTTTTGTTATTAATAATAACATTATGTATTAAATTGTTTGAACTGAATTTGAAACTGAAATCCAAACAGATCTAAAAGACACATATTGTGCTGCTCTGTATTCATTAATGTGTCCCCAATTATATTTTTTTAAAATACAGGCATCATAAGTACCTGAATTTCACTGGGTATTAGCCTCTTGCAGTCCCTGTACAGCAGAGCACAGACTGGGAGAGGGAGAATCAGTTATGTCTGTCCAGAGCAGTGGTCTCCAAACTGCTGCCCAGCGTCCAGTTGTGGCCCTACCCTTGCTTTTATCTGGCCCTTGGGGCATTATTCCTCCCACTGATACCAATAATGGGGCACTATTCCTCCCACTGACACCATTGATGGGGCACTATTCCTTCCACTGACACCAATGATGGCACACTATTTTTCCCACTGATACCAATGATGGGGCACTATTCCTCCCACTGACACCAATAACGGGGCACTATTCCTCCCACTGAAACAATGATGGGGTGCTATTCCTTCCACTGACACCAATAACGAGGCATTATTCCTCCCACTTACACTAATGATGGGGCACTATTCATCACACTAACACAATGATGGGGCGCTATTCCTTCCACTGACACCAATAATGAGGAATTATTCCTCCTACTGATACCAATGATGGGGAACTATTCCTCCCACTGACACCAATGATGGGTCACTATTACTCCCACTGACACCAATGACGGGGCACTATTCCTCCCACTGACACCAATGATGGGTCACTATTCCTCCCACTGACACCAATGATGGGTCACTATTCCTCCCACTGACACCAATGACGGGGCACTATTCCTCCCACTGATACCAATGATGGGGCACTATTCCTTGCACTGACACTAGAGATGGGACACTATTCCTCCCATTGATACCAATGATGGGGTACTATTCCTTGCACTTCCACCAGAGATGGGACACTATTCCGCCCACTGACACCAATGATGGGGCACTATTCTTCCCACTGATACCAATGATGGGGCACTATTCCTCCCACTGATACCAATGATGGGGCACTATTCCTTGCACTGACACCAGAGATGGGACACTATTCCTCCCACTGATACCAATGATGGGGTACTATTCCTTGCACTGCCACCAGAGATGGGACACTATTCCGCTCACTGATACCAATGATGGGGTACTATTTCTTGCACTGACACCAGAGATAAGACACTATTCCTCCCACTGATAACAATGATGGGGCACCATTCCTCTGACTGATACCAATGATGGGACACCATTCCTCCCACTGACACCAATGATGGGGCACTATTCCTCCCACTGATACCAATGATGGGGTACTATTTCTTGCACTGACACCAGAAATAGGACACTATTCCTCCCACTGATACCAATGATGGGGCACCATTCCTCTGACTGATACCAATGATGGGACACCCTTCCTCCCACTGACACCAATGATGGGACACCATTCCTCCCACTGATACCAATGATGGGGTACTATTCCTCCCACTGATACCAATGATGGGACACCATTCCTCCCACTGATACCAAAGATGGGACACCAATCCTCCCACTGACACCAATGATGGGGCACTACTCCTCCCACTGATACCAATGATGGGGAACCATTCCTCCCACTGATACCAATGATGGGGCACTATTACTTACCCACCAGAGGTGGACTGACCATTTGGAAACTCGGGCACTGAGGGTCAGTAGGGGGCCCCATGAGATGCCCCTGGTACCTTTTTCATAGGCTTTTTTGAGTTTGGGCAAGGACACAAGGGCCCCATTATCCCCTATTTCCCGGGGGCCCCATGAGTTGTCAGTCCGGCCCTGCCTCCCACTGATACCAATGATGGGGAACCATTCCTCCCACTGATACCAATGATGGGGCATTTTATACTTCCATTGACACCAGAGTATTTTCTAGTTTCTACTTAATTCCACTGGCCACAGTTCTGCCCCATCAAAGTCTAAAGGACAATAAACTGACCCTTTATTTAAAAATGTTGCAGACCACTGGTCTAGAGTTTCTGCCTTCATTTTTCCAGTTACTATGTTGGGAGGAGACAAGTGAATGATAATGAATTGCTGCAGAGACATTTCAGGTGCCCTGCTCAGCCAGACAGAGCTTTGCTCTGTGGCAAGATTGTGTAGATCTTAGAAATGGAAGGTTAAACAGCTTCCATATTTTTATTTGTAAATGTAACTGTTTGCCTGGAAGTTAGCTGTCATCCAACATCTTCACAATTCTTGTGTCTTCTGTAAAAAGTTTGCTTAGTCCCTTTATTAATCCTAGGTTCATACTAGTGCAGCTGCATGATAATGTGGTTTTCAGTGCACTTTTGTAGCACATTTTTGTGCATTTTTACAAGCTTTTTGGATGCCATTTCATGCTTCATGCGATTTTGCGAGAGAAGGAGACTGAATACACAAAACCCCTACCAAAAATGTACTAAAAACAAGTACGTACATGTAGATGTCTGCAATGTACATGTGCTTTCTATGCATTTCCATTGAAGTCTATGGGGCAAAAAAACACACTGTACTGCACTGCATTGATGTGATTAGGCACCATAGAGAGGACTTTCCATGGGTTCATGGCTGAACCCCTCATTCTTCATTCATGCTATTGTCACCATTGTTTGTACTCTGACTATGATGACAGTTCTATTTTGTACTTGACTTAGCTACTCTATAATGCCCTAATATTATTTGAAATCTTAATAAAAAGATTGAAACAGAAATTCGAATTTCAGAAGATGGCTAGATTTTTTCCATTTTATTCTATTCCATGTTAGTCTATTGTTTTTTATTTCTATTCTATTTTTTCAATTCTATTCTATTCTTTTCTGTCCAAACTATTCTATTCTAAACTATTCCATTCAAATTCAAATGTATTCTATTCGAAATTTGAATTTCAGAAGATGCTTATATTCTTTCTATTTTATTCTATTCTATTGTTTTTATATTCTTTTCTATTCTATTTTTTTTTTATGATTCTATTAATTCATTTTCTATTCTAATCTATTCTATTTCAGTTAAAATTTATTCTAACCAAATTTCGGAAGATGCTTATATTCTTTCTATTTTATTCTTTCTATTGTTTTTATATTATTTTCTTTTCTATTCTATTCGCATTCTAATTTATTATTTTTGAATTTCGGAAGATGGTTATAATCTTTTTAATTTATTCTGTTGTATTTTATTTTTTTTATTCTATTCTATTTTATCTATTCTGTTATTTTCTACTCTATTCACATTTATTCTGTTTGAATTCAAATTTATTCTATTTGAAATTCTAATTTCGGAAGATGCTTATAGTATTTTTATTTTATTCTGTTCTATTGTATTTTCTATTCTATTCTAATCTCTTCTATTCTTTTATTTTCTATTCTGTTCTGCTTTACTCTATTCTATTCTTTTTCAAATACGAATTTCAGAAGGTGGCTATATTCTATTCTTTTTTCTTTTCTATTCTATTCTATTATTTTCTTTTCTATTCACTTATTTTCTATTCTATTTTATTCTATTATTTTATTTTCTATTTTATTCTGTTTTACTATATTCTTTCCTATTTGATTTCTTTATTTTTTATTCTATTTTGTTCTTTTACTGTATTCTTTTCCATTCTGTTCTTTTATTTTCTATTTTATTCTTTTCTATTCTGTTCTATTTTTACTCTATTCTTTTCTGTTCTACTCCATTATTTTATGTTCTATTCTATTTTTTCTATTCTATTACTTTATTTTCTATTCTATTTTTTCTATTCTTTTATTGTGTATTCTGTTCTGTTTTACTCTATTCTATGCTTTTCTTTTCTATTCTATTATTTTCTAGTCTATTAAATTATTTTCTATTTTATTCCTTTATTTTCTATTCTTTTTAATTCTATTCTTGTTTTCAAATTCAATTTCGAAGTCAATTCGAATTTGAATTTCAGCCTAAATGTCTTATCACTATTTCAGATTCGTTTAAATTCACTAATATTGTAATCTGGAAATTCAGATATGTCTGGATAATAAAAAATGCGTCTGAATTTTGATTCAGAATGAAATGAAATACACATGTTCCAGAGACAGGACTGCTGCAGCTGCTCCTTTATTGTTTGTACCATTCTCCTAGGATCCCAGGTGGATTAGCACTTACACAGAGAACACTTAGCCTGGCCTAAAAGGTCTAAAAGGGACCTAACACCCAGTCACACTATTCCCTGGTACAACACTCTATTTTGGAACAGAGCCACCCAGTGGTAGACTAGCTAGCTGCACCTGCTTACAGCACTAAGGCACTAAATACAAGTACTGCTCTAATACAAGTCATACTGCATATAGTTTAGTATGTCTATATACAGTATAGTAGGTCTATATACAGTATAGTATGTCTGGCAAATGTACAAGGGGCTGTTGGCTTCTTCTGGCTCGCAGTTTGGTTGTTGACTGTTTCTAAACAATCATTTGCAGGAGATTATCTATAACATTTTGAACCATACTGACTTGTATATGTACTTTGTGTAATTTATGTGCAGCCAGAAATGTACATAACAGCAGCATGATGCAGACAGTGTAAATAAACTAAGATAAGGATTCTTCAGCTGTTTTCCATCTCAGTTCCATGCTTACACCAGAACTCCAATTAAAAGCTCTAATGTGTTTTTGCTGTGTGATGCCTTAAGGCTGATAAAGAAGATAAACTCATTTAGAAATATTTTTATCAATGGCCACAAACAAATCAGCTATTCAGAGATTTACATGCCTAAATATTTGCCTACCCCTAGAGAGAGAAGTACGTGAACATCTTTATTGTTAATTAGACAAAGCCCAAAACTCCAGCTTGTCGGAGGAGTGCGGGGGCCAAGCTGTGTGCTTCAGTATTATTATTATAATACAGGATTTATATAGCGCCAACAGTTTGCTCAGCGCTTTACAAAATAAAGGGAGACACTACAGCAACAATACAGTTCAATACAAGAGGGTTAGGAGCAGGGGCGGACTGACAACTCATGGGGCCCCCGGGCAATAGGGGATCATGGGGCCCCTGTGTCCTTGCCCAAACTCAAAAAAGCCTATGAAAAAGGTACCAGGGGCATTTCATGGGGCCCCTACAGACCCCGGGCCCTCGGGCAGTGCCCGAGTTTCCAAATGGTCAGTCCGCCCCTGGTTAGGAGCGCCCTGCTCCTTGGAGCTTACAATCTAAGAGGGAGGGGCTGGTGGTACAAAAGGTAATAACTGTGGGGAATGGACTCGTAGAAGGAATAGAAGATTCGGTTATTAGCTGAAGGCAGAATAGGCTTTCCTGAAGAGATAGGTTTTCAGAGATCGCCTATAAGTGGGCAGATAGTCTGATAGATTGAGGTAGAGAGTTCCAGAGGATGGGGGAGGCTCTGGAGAAGTCCTGGAAACAAGCATGGGAGGAGGAGACAAAGAAGCTAAAGAACAGGAGGTCGTGGGAGGAGCGGAGAGGACGGTGTGGGTGATATTTGGAGACAAGATTGGTTATGTAATTTGGGGCAGAGTTATAAATGGTTTTATATGTGATTGTTAATGTTTTGAATTTTATTCATTGGGCAATGGGAAGCCAGTGGATAGATTGGCAGAGAGGGATGGCAGATATGTATTAAATTATGCTCTCCGCTGAAAAGTAAAGCTCACAAGAAATGGAATGCTTAGGCATTTTTAATTCAAGTATTTACATAATCACTGCACAGGCTGTGATTATCCTAATCTGATATAAATGCAATTTTCAAATTCTTCAGCAAATATAGAAGGCGATTTTTAAGCAAGATAATTTATAGGGCAGTGGTGTAAAACAACAACATTATTTTACATTTAGGTTGTTTATCCACACAGCTGCACAGAGGTGTCCAGGGGCAGCAGCTGGCACGTATCATTAGATTCTTGTTGGTGGTACTAAACTCCACATGCACACTATGTGTGCGACCAGCAGCGGCTATCAGATTCGTACTTTATGCAAATCAATGGCCAGCGCCACTGTTGTTGGCATGTAGCTGCTCATTTGAATGAATCAATGAATCCTCTGATGGCAGGATGGCACATCAATACGTACCGTTGCCAGAAGGTTTGCTGTGTCTCCCAGCACAGTCTCAAGAGCATGAAGGACATTCCAGGAGACAGGCAGTTACTCTAGAAGAGCTTTAAAGGGCCGTAGAAGGTCCTTAACCCATCAGCAGGATCGGTATCTGAAACTTTGTGCAAGGAGGAACAAGTTGAGCACTCCCAAAGCCCTACAAAATGACCTCCAGCAGGCCACTGGTGAGAATGTCTCTGACCAAACAATCCGAAACAGACTTCATGAGGGTGGCCTGAGGGCCCAACATCCTCTAGTGGACCCTGTGCTCACTGCCCGGCACCATAGAGCTCCATTGGCATTGAACACCAGAATTGGCATGTCTGCCACTGGCACCCTGTGCTTTTCACAGACGAGAGTAGGTTCACCCTGAGCACATGTGACAGACATGAAAGGGTCTGGAGAAGCTATGGAGAACATTATGCTGCCTGTAACATCGTTCAGCATGACCGTTTTGGTGGTGTAGTGATGGTGTAGGAAGGCATATCCATAGAGGGACACACAAACCTCTACAGGCTAGACAATGGCACCC